ATTGCGAAAATGACGATCGGGGCTTTTTTGCGGAAAAGCGCGTCTAGATTGGCCACGGACGCTTTTCCAGGAAAAGTGTTTTTCCGGAAAAGCACTGACGATTTAATGTAAAATCATCAGTGCTTTTCCGGAAATTCAAACGGCCAGTGTAGACAGCTGGCAAGTTTTTCCGGAAAAGCATCCTGCCAATCTAGACGCGCTTTTCCGAAAATACTTTTAACGGAAAACTTTTCCGTTAAAAGCATTTCTGGAAAATCATGCCAGTGTAGACGTAGCCAGCGTGTACCAACAGAAGGAGGTTTTTTGCCTTACTGGGCACACCCTCTGCTCGAAAGACGTTAGCGATGCCAACCGAAGCGCTCTATCGTTGGCATTGCTGAATCTATATGGGAGTTTTTGCTATTGTAGCTGTGTAAGTAGGGCAGTGGTTCTCACTCTGGGTGCATGTATCCCTTGGGGGAACACAGAGATCTTCCTGGGATTACAGCAGTTCATCTGGATATTTTTGTAGTTTTACAAGAGGCCACATAAAAAGCCCTTCCAAAGTCAGTACAAGCTAAAATTTCATACAGACAAGGACTTGTTTATATTGCTCTATCTGCTGTACACTGAAATGTAAGGACAATATTTATATTCCAATTGATTTATTGGATAATTATGTAGCACAAATGTAAAAGCGAGCAATTTGTCAGCTAGAGCGTGCTCTGACACATTTGGGTTTTTAAGCACAGTTTTGCCAGCCAGTGTTTTTTCAGTGAGGTGAAATTTTGGGGTACCCAAGACGAATCAAACTCCTGCAAGGGGTACACTCGTCTGGAAAAGTTGAGAGTCACTACGCTATGGGAGGGGAGGTTTTCAGTTTAAAGTGTCGACCAGGCCTACGTAACAGACGGCTCCATAATTTGGCCGTTGGAACAGAGAATGTTCTTTTCTAGTGATGGCTAACATGGTTTAAAGATCGATCGCTGTCAAAAGGCAAGACCCATTTTGAAGCGGACAGCCGTTCAGATGTCCGTGACAGTTTAAAAACAAAATCGCTCGCTGTAAGAATAAGAAGACTGTAATTATGGGAGTAGTCACTGCTCTGGGTCTCAATTAGCCACCCTGTTGTGCGAGGTCTAGGAACACCAGTAAGGTTTCACACTGAAGAAATTAAATAAAGTAACAAATGATTAAAACTGAAGTAATTAAATAAAATCCCGAACCGGCTCCAATGTAAGCGATTGGATCTGCTTGCAGAGAGCCCTGTATCAGATCACAGAATTGAGGACTCCAGAGAGAAATAATTCTGCAGTCTTCTTGCAAGCAGAATAACCGTCGACTCCCAGAAGAGTTTTGCCTGCGTACAACTGCGCAATAGCTCATTTCATGAAATGTCACTGATTTTAATCCTAAAGTTCCCTGCAATCCACACAGATCTCGTGTCCCCGGCCCTAGCATTGCTGCCAGGCTTAGGGTGAGAAAAGTGGCATTAGTACTTTGAGGCTAGAAAGCATTAGTGGCACCGAAGTTGCACAAGGCTAGAAAGCATTAGTGGCACCGAAGAAAAGGACCTCACAACGCTGTGTGCGTCCTACAGGAATAATTCATTTGCATCCCTCGTTTTGGAACGTTGGGTATTTTACGTCCAACGTTTGGAAGGTTGAGGGGCTCGAGTGAGGACTGAGCTTGTTGTCTCTATCTCTCATCCTGTTGAAAAACAAAATTGAGGATCCGTGTTCCTCGTGTGCACAGTGAAACAGGCTGGCGATTCCTATCTCTTATCCTGTTGAAAAACAAAATTAAGGATCCGTGTTCCTTGTGTGCACAGTGAAACAGGCTGGCGATTCAGGGGCAAATTGGGTCGCTGGACTGGTCAGTTTCATTGCTACAAGCGTAGGAGGGCAGTTTCGCCTTGGAAATCCTTTGCGGGGAATGGAGGCTTGCCTTTGGCCTGCTTAAAGAACAAAGAAAATGTTTTGATGGAAATATATATATTTTTAAAGGGCTCACAATGTTCCACTTAAATGCTGGAATCTGAAGACATTAATACAAAACTATGCATCCCAAATTGTGGATGCTTTTCAAAAGTCGTGACAAATATTTCATCATAGGTTGTGCCTGGTCTTTTCTGGGTAGAAAATCTACTTTTTGGAATGAAGCTATCTGACAGTGAGCCATTGAAGCATTCAGTAGATTATTCCAGGCATAGTGAAACTGATTCTGGGAGCGAATCGTTATCACGTGCTAAGTCAGGGTGGCTGTTGGGAGCTATAAATTTGTCTACTCTCAAATGATAAATTAAAAATACTGATCTGGGATCACATTTCGCGAGGGTCTATTATTTAAAAAAAAAGAGAGGTGCGTTAAAAACGGTTCTCAGAAATAGGTTCGAATGCTATTAAATGAAATTCCTGACATTATTGCTGTTAGAAAGAACCCTGCGACTTCCAGGAAAATTTTGAAGCCCCTGGGTCTAGTAACAAAAGCAAAATTTTCTATTATATACAGATGAGTAGCTTTTTAGGGACCCGTTTAATTATCTGTAACTTATGGAAGGAGGATCTGGCCTTTAAAGGAGACATTTCTGAAACAGAACTGATTTACTGAACTCTTGGCAGTTTCTTTGTATCTTATATTCTGAAACAAGAAATTTGTTCTGTTGTTATTATTCCTTACAATACAATACGGCTGTGTTGGAATTCCTCACATGGAAAACTCATCTACCAGGGATTTTAATGGGTGCACACAGATATTTTCAAAGCTGGGTTTTTACCTATCCATGACAATTTCGGTTTCCTGCCAGTTCTTTGTTTTTAAAGTGCTCGTTTAGGTAGCGTCTGAGGGCCATGAAGACGTACGTTGCAATTGCACGGAGGTTTCAAAAGATGTTTGACTCGGTGGCGTAGTTCTGCATGGATCTGCACTCAAAAATCTCAGCCGAGATTGGTGTTAAAGACAAACAAGCCAGCTTCATTCTGAGATGAAACAGTTCCCCCCTGTAATCTAAATGGGGTTTGGTATGGACTAGAAGAGAAGCAGGTTTAGGGCCATATAAAATGGTAGACAGAGGGGGAACTAGGATTCAGAAGCAAATCATCCTCTGCTAAATGAATGAGAGACCTAAAATTCCCTTGAGTTACTTGAGTGTCGGCACACAAATCCGAGACAAAAGTCAACGGAACTTTCGTTTCTTTCTAACAAGGGGCCGTCGGGTGTGTCGGTCGCTGCAGAGAGGGGTTTGGTGTTTTGATCTTATTTGTGGCATTTAACCAAAATTCTCTCAGGATGTTCTCCTCCCCCCTCCCTCTTGTGGATCTGGATAGCTTTTTGTGTGTGGGGGGGTGGAAATAAATCTGTTTGCTAGAAAATCTTTCACAGAAAGGACAAGTTAAGGGTTCCCCTTTTACAAAGGAAGATAGCAATGGCCAGACAGGGTTAGACCTGGGTCCAATATCCTGTCTCCACCAGGGGCTGGCACCAGATGTTTGGGCGGATGCTACAACTCGTAACCCCCAGTAATTAGAGATTGATGTAACCCCGGAAGTACTTTAGAGTTGATCTCAGAACAGCTCACAAGAAGCAATCAGTTGCTCTCTTATCTCCTTCCTCGCCTCTTTCCATTTGCCTCCGATGCATCTTATTATTCGTTATTGTTGGGGCTTGTCGAACTGCAGTGAGCCCTGCTCGCCAGCTGCGCTGTCCGGCGATCTGTGCTCGCCAGCTGCGCAGAACCCGGCTCTTCCGGGTTGCAATCTACTCGCCATGGGCAAGTAGATTGCATTATTTGTCGAGCCCTGTTATTGTTATTAGTGGGAATTAGTATGTATTCTGCAGTCGCCTCTAGGAGCTTTGTCGTGGATCAGGCCTCGCTGGGGTTTGGTGCTGCACAGAAACAGACCAAAAAGTGGTCCCTGTCTCAGAGAGTTTCTACTCTAAGATGAGACACTAGATGGATACAGCCCAACCGACTGGGGTGCACAAGGGAACAATGAGACAATATTGTTATCTTACATCAGTCAGCTTTCCTTCTGCCGCTCCTGCCTTGGAACACAGCCTGGCTGCGTCTAGACTGGCAAGCTGTCTATATTGGCCGCTTGAATTTCTGCAAGAACACTGACGATCTCATGTAAGATTGGCAGTGTTCTTGCGGAAATGCTATGCTGCTCCCGTTCGGGCAAAAGCCCTCTTGCGCAAATGCTTTTGCGCAAGAGGGCCAGTGTAAACAACGCGGCATTGTTTGGCGCATAAAAGCCCCGATCGTGAAAATGGCGATCGGGGCTTTCTTGCACAAAACCGCGTCTAGATTGGCACGGACGCTTTTCCGCAGAAAGTGCTTTTGCGGAAAAGCGTCCACGCCAATCTAGATGCTCTTTTCCGCAAATGCTTTTAACAGAAAAACGTTTCCGTTAAAAGCATTTGCGGAAAATCATGCCAGTCTAGACGAAGCCCCTGTGTCTATTTCCAGCGCATCCTCGCTCTATGTATTTTCAAATATGAGAAATGCATCCTGCTCCGGGTGGCCTCTCTGCTTCCCGCCCAAGGCTGGTCAGGTCTTGGGAGATTTGATCTTATTTCTGAAAGCCCCAGCACTTGGAGTCATGTTATTATGTGAGAATTGTCAGGCATTCATTGGGGAAAAATTAGCATGTGTTTAGCCCTGCTGGCAGCAGAGGGAAGCTAGAAAAATATGAGCCCTAAACTCTTTGAAACTCAAGAGGCAAACTAAAGAGAACTCAACATTTGCTTTTTCGTTATTGTTATCATGATCATCATTGATAATGATATAATAATAATTTAATCTCATTATTTTAAGCCAATCTTGTGATTTTTAAGCCAATCATGATTTCAATATAATCTCGTGATTTTAAGCCAATTTCCTGATTTTTTTAAGCCAATCTCGTGATTTTTTTAAGGCTCATGCTGTTTGAACACTCAGGGCTGGCAAGTCTGAAGGTGGGATGAAATCAGCCCTACCCTGTGAATCCAGGGGCGTGGCTGGTGCGAAATGTGTCCCTGCGATGCAAGAAACCAGCTCTGCGCCCCACTGTTTCACGGGAGGCGATCGAGGGATTGTGGCGGTGGTGGGGCTGCGCCGTGACCGCGCGCACGAGGGGGTCGCAGCTGAATGTGCATGAGCCTCCCCATGCCCTGTGGCAGGAGCTGCAGGCTGCATTCCTGTGCCCCGCTTGGGGCTGCGAGATTCCCCCAGCAAACCCACGCACGGAGCAGAGCTGTGCTCAGGGGCTGGGCGGGTCTTGCCTGAACACTGGCCGGGGTGCTTTGAAAGATACGGGACTGATCTTCAGATGCTCTTCGCTGGCCCTACTGCATGCATTTCAGGGGACCCTCCCATGCGTATTGTGTAGGAGGCTGCAGTGGACCGAGGCTGCTCCACACAGTCGCATGGCCCATCTGCTGGCAGGAGTGCATGGGACTGGGATGTAGCCAACAGGGCTGCTGAGTCACTCAGGTAGGGCCCGGCTGCCTCTGCAGCTGCCTGGTTTGCCTGTGGCTCGAGAGTGGGCAAGAGGCCCCCGCTATCCCTCTGCAGGTACCAGCGATCTCAGCTCCCGTTGCCTGCGGATCCCCTTTCGGCCAATGGGAACCTCACGAAGCGGGGTGGACCAGGGCATCGCTTCTCACAGCTCCTATTGGCTGGGAACGGTGATCCCGCAGCCAATGGGAGCTGCAGTCACCAGTACCTGCGGAGAGGCAGGTAAATAGACCACCGGTGGGCGGCCCACCAGGCGGTTCGGCTCCAGCATGTGACTCCCTTCCCCACCCTCCAGACCTCTGGTGTAGAGGGGCTGTTACTGGCCACAGGGAGTGGCATGAGCTGCGGATCCCACGCCGCTTTATTGACCCCCGTGCGGCAGCTAGAACAGCTCCTGTCAATGGGGCTCGGGGGAGGTGGATAATGAGGGGAGCCGCACGGATGGACGGCGATGCAGGATCTGGCCCGAAAGCTTTGTGCGAGTCACTGCCTCCCACTCCGCAAGCGTCAGCTCCCCCTTCTGAGCTCCCAAAATCTGGGATCGGCGCTCTCCCTCCGTCCTGCCCGGCCCTTTGCATTTGTGAGCCGTGCAGTCAAACTGTCACCTCCGTTCCGGGCTAATCGATAGCGCCCGGGGAGCAGGTTAATTATAATCGCAGAATAAACGCCGCCGTCTCAAAGGTCGCCCGACGTTAGCAGTGTTTCAAAACCAGAGAGGACAATGCCAAGAGAGTTTCATTGATCCCTCCAGGGCAGGTGTGGGAGTTTGAACCTGTCCACAATCCGATCTGATTCAAGACTACTCGATCGGGTTCCTTATCTCGAGCTATTTCCTATCTTATAATGTCTGTTATTTTAGATAAAAGTCCAATCAATTGGGCTAGAAAAACTGCAAGTTACATTTTCCTCTGATAAGTTTTGGTACCTGCAGGTTTATCGGCTGGGTGCTTGTCAAGGCTTGAATTGACCTGTTCAGATATTTAATCAGTTACGGGGAAAATCTTTCTCTTTCTGTCTCTACCCCACCCTCGCCAGAGCAGTGGAATGACCCAATGTTCAGAAAAACAAATAAAGCCGGAAAAGAGAATTATTGGAGGTTATCCAGTAAACCAGGAGCAGGGGGCAAATAGCACAAACTGGGACTCCTTGGGGTGATGAAAAGAATTAGCGAAAACAACACTATAAATAGGCAAGAATTGCACTTGAGTTATCCTGGGCTACGTTTTCTGATTTCCTTCCTGTAAAGATATTCCCCAGTGGAACAGAAGCCAGAATCAGTAAGTGCATAATGATCCTGCAGGCGTGATTAGGACAGGTTCATCCCTCAGGTCACTAGGACGTTGTATGTGAGTGAGGGTTTGTCATCTGAGTAAGGCTGCAGAGTGGAACCCTTCCTCAGAGAGAAACCACCAAGGGATCGAAGGCCCAAGCGTGTGTCTCCCAAAACACCACAATAGGCCAGAGCCATGCCTGTGGTTTTAAGATCTTTGCAGAAAAACTTCCCTAGCAGGGGCTGGAAGCCAAAGAGCAAGGGGGTGTCTATACAGTCCCTTTCCCTCGAAATAAGCCACGCCATTGGCACCGCTTATTTCAAGGTCATTTCAAAATGGCTGATTTTGAAATTTGGCACAGTCTATGCAGCGCCAGATTTCGAAATCAAGTGCTGTTCAGACGCCGGATTAGTGCACGGGTGTAAAGACGCAGAACTGCTATTTGGAGTTACTTTGGGTATCCCGAAATAGCCCTTCAGTCTGCCCGTAGCCGAGGAGGGCCACTTGGGTGAAACTTGTGAATCCCTCTCTCCCCCGGGCAAGCTGCATTGTTCAAGCAGAGGGGGAGAAAAGAAAGGAAAGAAATTGCACAAGGGTGAAAAGAGAATTCTGTTTCCAGCAATGCATGGCTCTCCAGTGGCAGAGGCCAATCAGTTTCAGTGTCAGGACTAAGGATGTTAAGGACGAGTTGACTGTCCGATCAGCAAATGTTTATCAGATAGTCGAGTTGACTGGTCGCTTCCTCCTCCCCCCCCTTTGCTGCCTCTATCAGATAGAGGCAGCAATAGCGGGGAAGAGGGAGTACTTCAAAGCAGTAGTGCCGCACAGAGCCCGGGGTACGGGTTCCATGCAGATCTGCCACATTTCAAAGGAACAGCGCTGTACAGCTGATCCCGGGCTCCATGCGGCGCTGCCCCTTTGAAATGCCGCTGCAGCGTTTCAAAGGGGCAGCATCGCCCTATTGACTAAATGAATAGTAGATGCAGAAACGCATTGACTATTCGATTAGTGAATTACACGATACTTAACATCCTTAGTCAGGACAATATGACCTGTCTCACCATAGTGGCGTTTTGGTCATAGAATAATGTAGAAAGAACCCAGCGGTCGTAATTGTCACTCTTTCTGCCAGAGGAGGTGGCGAAGACCAGGATTTTAACAGGGTTCAAAAAAGAGCTAGGGAGGGTCATGGAGGTTAGGTCCATCAATGGCTATTAGGCAGGATGGGCGGGGATGGTTTCCCGAGCCTCTGTTTGCCAGAGGCTGGAAATGGGTGATAAGGAAAGGATCACATGATGTTTCCCTGCTCTGTTCGCTCCTTCTGGAGCACCTGGCATTGGCCGCTGTGAGCAGACAGGACCCTGGGCCACATGGACCTTTGGTCTGACCCCGTCTGGCTGCTCATGTTCTTATCGTACCGTCCATCCACAGATTTCCAAGCGCTGTTTTACCCACACGGCCCATTTGCTTTACTTTCCGCACTGTAAATAGGCCCATCAAACCCAGCGTTGGCGAAGGACAAACCAATGGCAAAACTCCGACTGACTTCCTGTGGGCTACAGTTTCACCCGCAGGAACTGGCCTGTGCAGAAATCTAAGCACGTGCTTACGTCTTTGCCAGCTCAAGGCCAACTATTAAAAAGCCCTGAAATGTTTGAGGGTTGAGCCGCTGATTTGGGCCTGGATCTGGCTTGTGTAAACTCACGTGTGCCGTTCCCATGACATGCTGATTGGGATGGGTGAGATACGCCAGCTGGCTGCGTAGTCACTGGAGCCCGAATCGGCTTTCCCTGGGGGTGCCTGGAGATCGGGGTACTGCGTGGAGGCTGGGGAGCATGTGCCTAAAGGGGAAGCAGATCATAGGGTTACTTGGTTAACAATAGCCAAAGGACTCTGTATGTGCCCCTGAGCTGTATTCTGGAGGGAAAGGTGGAAAGAGTAGGAAGAGTAGGGGAAAGAACATAAGAACATAAGAACATAAGAACGGTCAGACCAAAGGTCCATCCAGACCAGTATCCTGTCTGCCCACAGTGGCCAATGCCAGATGTCCCAGAGAGAGGGAACACAACAGGTAATCCTCATGTGGTCCCTCTCCTGTCACCCACCTCCAAATAGACAGAGGCTAGGGACACCAATCCTACCCATCCTGGCTAATAGCCATTGATGGACCTAACCTCCATGAATCTATCTAGCTCTTTTTTGAGCCCTGTTAAAATCCTGGTCTTCGCCACCTCCTCTGGCAGAAAGAGTGACAATTACGACCGCTGGGTTCTTTCTACATTATTCTATGACCAAAACGCCACTATGGTGAGCGTAGGAACAAGTCAATAATTTTTCCTTATTCACTTTTTCCATACCAGGCATGATTTTATAGACCTCTATCATATCCTCCCTTATCTCCTCTTTTCTAAGCTGAAAAGTCCCAGTCTTTTTAATCTCCTCATTATTTTTGTTGCCCTTCTCTGATCCTTTTCCAATGCCAAGAGATCTTTTTTGAGATGGGACTACCACATCTGTACCCAGTATTCAAGATGTGTGCGCACCTGATTTTATACAGAGGCAATAAAATATTCTCTGTCTTATTCTCCATCCCTTTTTTAATGATTCCGAACATGCTCTTTGCTTTTTTGCCTGCCGCTGCACACGGAGGGGCTGTTTTCAGAGAACTATCCACAGTGACTCCCAAGATCTCCCTGTTGAGTAGTTGTAGCTAAAGCATGATGTGATAGGGGCACGCTGGGCCTGGTTCTCAGTTATTCTAGGCCCTTGTCAGAAGACACCATGCAATGGGTGAAAACGGCCTCGTGACAATCTTAGCCATGTAGATAGCCTGTCCTGCTCCCAGCCTCGAGTCAGCATGCTCCGACTAGCATCCAGATCCCTGTCCATGCTCAACTGGCGAGCTCGAGCCTGTTCCGGAGCCGCAATGTCCACACGGCGACTTTTTAGTGCACCGGCTCCAGCCCTGCTCGTACGAGTCTGTTCCTCCAGGCTGGCAGGGATGTAGAGAGTTACAGCAAGCATGGGGCTGCTCAGACTTACCCTGGGGCCAGGGCAGGCCCCCACACGTCCCAGAATCTCAGGAGCGCAGAGGTCACTTTAAAGCTGCCTTCCCCTCTTCCCTCGTCCCTGCCCAAGAGCAGGACTTGAGTAATTGAGCCTCAGGCAAGGTGGAATGGGAAGTGCCCTCAGCCATACCCGATCAAAGTGCAAATGGGGTTAACCATACTACGCTGGGAGTTCGCAGCAAGGCCCTGCCTTGGCTTTCCCCAGCCCCTCTGCTCCATTAGCCCCACAAGTCCTTGCCATCCCTCCCTCCCCTCCCTTCTGTTATTTACGCACCCTTCTCTGGCCCCAAATGGCCAACAGGGTGTTAACAGATCCTCCTCCACCCCAGCCGGGAGAGCTGCATGAAGCTAAGCCGGCTCATCCCCTCACAGGTTGGCCACAGCCCTTTCCAGGAACACGGCAGGGTATGTCCAGGGAAGGCTGGGGCAGGTAGAAAACCCTCTGGTGGTGCCCGCGTAGAGAGAAAGTTGGTGCCTCTGAGTGGCACAGATTGCTAGTGTGGATCAGGGGAAAGTTATTGAGCAAAAAAAAAAAAAGTCACCTGCCCCTTTAAGGGCAGCCATTTTTAAATTTGCTGTTCTCTGTGGCACACCTCTGACTGCCTTGTGGCATGTTGCGGCACGCCATGCAACACTGTGCAAGTAACACTGCTATAAAGTGTTCCCTAGGGCATATGACTAGGGCTGTAAATGTGGAGAAGACTGTTCCTTGGACCCGTGGCACCATGTTGTCCCCTGATGGCAATCAGCAGAGCTCCACTCTTCGCAGTGGATTTATTTCGTTTTGCGCCAGCTGAGACTCTGGCCCTTTGCTGCCTTCCGTTTCCTGTCCGGGCAGATCAAGCTGTGAGGTGCAGGCCCAGATCCAGACATGGCCAAAGCTCAGAAGGGTTTGGATCCGGGATTACAGCACAGGGCCTGTTTCACATGCGACTTGGAAACCTTCTGTAGCCCTGAGCTCGTAGGGGGTGGAGCCAGTGAGCGTGTCCCACAATGGTGCAAGCATTTCCGCACGACTATAACTCACCAACAATAGTCTCGTGGCAGAGGCTGTTAGGATTACTCACACGTGGAAAATTGCTCAGGTGCCTACACTAGAAAACAGCACAGCTGTGTTGGCTAGAAACATGCCAAAACGAACCCCTCACTGTCAGCAAAAAGTCGCAGTGTAGATGCAGTGATAGTATCAAAAATAACCCTTTTTTGATAGTATCAAAAACAACAAGGAGTCTGGTCTGGTGGCAGCTTAAATACTAACAATTGTATTACGGTAAAAGCTTTCTGGAGTGGCAACTCACTTCGGTTTGGTGGCAGCTTAAATACTAACAATTATATTACAGCAAAAGCTTTCTGGAGTGGCAACTCACTTCATCAGGGGCATGGTCTGAACGAAAAACAGGTAGTAGGTAGACAGAGATGTACTCAGTCTGATAGAAGAAGAACCGACATGTTTGCTGTAACTTTTTGAAACGTGTGATATTAAGGGAAATGGTGAGTTTTTAAAAAAATGTCTAAGGAGATCTAAGGTTAAACTTAGATCATAGTCTGAATAGTTTATAAACAAATAGGTAGATTCTTTTTCTATCAGATGGAATAAATCACATGCCAGAGTCTGGCTGCCACACGAGTGAGTTAAATGAAAAAAAAACCACGTATTTTCAGGACCGGGTTCAAACAGTTTTAAAAAAAAGTGCTGTAACAAGGCTTTTTACATGAGATTAACCCTCCTCCCCCCCTCACACACACACACAATCGACAAGGATTCTAACAGACAAGGGATCCCATTCTGCAACTGCATCTGCTCCCTCGGACCCCAAGCAGGTGAACTTCCGATTTGAGGAGACAGATTTGAGGAGAACGTTCATGTTTGCTGGCAATTTTTAAAAAAAGAGAGGGGAAAGTGGGAGGGGGCAAAAAATGCATGTGATACATTTATAA